GCATGGTATGGAATGTCCCTTTGGTCCCTTGGGGTCAGCTGTGTTCCCTCCCAACTTCTTGTGCACCCCCAGCCTACTCGCTGGGGGTGTGAGAAGCAGAAAAGGCCTTGGCTCTGTGTAAGCACTGCTCAGCAATAACGAAACCATCCCTGTGTTACCAACACTTTTCATCGCAAATCCAGAATGGCATTGTATGAGCTTCTGTGAAGAAAATTAACTATATCCAATACACCGGGATTGGAAGCCACAATGGGATAAGAACAGAAAAGACGTTATGCCTGTTTGGGGGAAGAAGAATCAAATGGACAATGAGATGTTCTTTATACACTTTTCTTCCCACAATGTTGAATAAAACCAGAACGCTGGATTTCACTCTACTATCAGTATGTATCCCTGAAACCTACAGGGAAGGTATGGCATCTCTAGTGCAGTTTGCAGAGATGAGGACTTGTTATTGCTACCAGTTAGTCCCTTTGCTTAAGCAGCAAATGTTTCATTGCTCTGATTGTTGATGCTCATGCGGTGGTGGGATTCTAGGTTGTTTTTTTCCTCAGTTTGCTTAGAAATTTACACATTTTTCCCTATGTTAAAGAACATGATTGCCTTTTGAATGTTAATAAATTAAAAGTTAGAAAATGTCAGGAGCTCCTGTGCTGCTTTAAGTCAGACCCTTAATATTTACATCTCTGTACCATTTTCAGACATTCTGTACCAAACTGATTTTTCCCCTGGACAATGTTTGTTTCACTGCCTGGGCTACAGATTCTCTTCAAACTGGTCCTGCAGTTGTGGACTTTATAAAATATTTATTCACTAATGGAAATGGGGAAGCCAATAATAAGAGTCAAAATGGTTAGGCCGCTTCTGCATTCAAAATGGCACAAAAAGCAGCTTGGACATATTTGCACCAATGTGTAAGTAAATGGCCTTTTACTAAATCTCCTGAATGGTGTTGTGTCAGTGTAATACATCAGTTATCCTTTGCATGTACCAATTCTTTTACCTGACACATGAGCTTGATATTAAAGGTGTTCAGATAAAAAACAGAGTGGTGTTGGCTTTGTTTTACTGGTCTTATTTTTTATTTTTTTTAATTAATGAAAACCTTAAGTTCTTGCTAATATTCCTGAGAATCTTCTGCAATACTGGGCCTAAAGCCCAGGACATGCTGTGAAGTGGTGACTTATTTGCCAAGGAAAGGATATGGAGTTAATAAAAACCTTTATTGTGATGGCATGACAGCAAAGGACTTGCTGCTCCAGGTGCATTCTAGAGCTGTTTCCCGTGGTATATTTTATGCATGCAAATAGACAATACCATTATTGCCTATTTCACAGAAGTTATTTATTCAACCTGTTAATGACTAGGGTTGTTGGACATCTGAACGAGTCACATGTATAGCCAGTGAATACAGCAAGGCTCATTGAAGGTGTGATTCATCTGACCTACTTTGGCTAGCTGTTTTAGCACGAGATGACTCACACCCTCCGAGGTGCCTGTTTCTCTCCATTGGGTATAAAGCAAGCTGAGGATGACTGGCTTACAGCTAGATGTCTGCATTCCTTCACAGCCATCTCACCCTTGTCTTCTTTTTACTGGCTTACTTGATTATTGTGCCATTTAGGCAGTTTGCTAACAGCCCACCTACCACTCTCATTTAACACTCATGAAGAAGAGATTTTTACTTCAAAGAGTAAATTGAATCATCCATGTCCGTAAGGGGTCTGCACCTAAAGTACCTGCTGATTCTCAATGATTGTGGATGTAATACTGTGAAATCTTTCAAAGGCTTTAGTGAAAGTCAGCTTAAATCTGACTCTGAATTACTGTAATCAAGATTCAGTACAGGTTTTGATTGGGAAATGTCATGGCAAATGTTTCTGAGAGAGAAGGCACATAATACTGCAGCACACTTCTTACTAAACAAAGAGGTCTTAAAGCCATATATTTATGCATGTCAGCTACTTACTAATGTTCATGGAGTTGTGTGTTAAATCAGCTTGTGAGATTTCAGCTTCTCTGGCTTTCCTGGCAAGGAAAGCTGCAGCATTTTCCCAGCACACTGCTGACTGCAAGTGTCAGAAGTCTGTAGCTTTCAGTACTGTATATGCTCTTCCCTGTGGTGCCTTTTGCACTGCGCCGTATTGTTTCTGCTTTGTTCATAGGTTCTGAAGGCATCTATATATTTTATCTTCTACAGGAATCAGTAAAGGTCTGCCATGTTATAGAGCTGATGCCCTAGAACCGATGATTTCCCTTGAGCTTCTCCTGTAATGTTTCACTATAGAAAATGCTTCAGGCAGTCTTTTGTCTGATACATGTACCAGATATCCAGATCTGGATAGCAAAATGTGCAGGAAAATGGCTTTCATCCTAAGTGGCTGTCACTTTCATGTAAAGTAACACCTGTAAACTGTCTTAAAAAGAAACTCAGCAATTTTTTTCTTTTGTCATTTCAATCACGGCCTTCTTATCTGAACTGCACTTTTTTCTCCTTTTCTTCACAAGAACTTTCTTGTTATGCCTAGTATGTAAGGATGTAGTTAAGTTCCCTTGATGGCTTAAATGTGAGCTTCCAGGATTTATGGGCTTTCTTCTGCGATGACTATAAATTGTCCATTGACATGGGAAAGATTCATAGGCCTTGAATATGTCTAATTATGTTTAACACATGTGAGGTCGCAGGTAAAGTCACACCACAGTCCCTCTAAGCACAGACCGAGTCTTTATTTGGGCAGGCAGTTATACACAGCTGCATTAAATTCACAGTAACAGATACGTAGTGTGACCGCCACTTCCTATCACAATTGGAAATAACTCCAGAAATGCAAAATACTTTGATACATTAAAAAGCTGAAGTATTTACCGAGTTCATCAAAGTGATTTATTTCTACACCCCTTCTCTGTCAGTGCAGGCACTGTAATTTACTGCATATACGCTGACTAAAATAGAGAGGTTCCACCCTGGCTACTTTCTGGGTGCTATTGGAGTATTAAATATTTAATAATAATTAGATTTTAAAAAAAAACCAAACTGGTTTCAGTTGCCAAATGAATATAAGACTTTCTGTCAGTGTAGCAATTCCAGTCTGACACCTGACGATTTATCATTTCTGTACACATTTTCATCAGGACAAAATATAATTGGAAGTTGGCTGGCAGTTTTGCTAATGGTGCAGAAAGAATTATAAAATCTAATGTAAGAAATGTTGTACATAGTCTTGGAATGGTAACGGAAATGAAAACCTGAAAACATTGGATTTAAAGAACTCATTCTTACTGTGTTATCCCTCTGCATCCATCTAAGTACCTAGTTAGGGTGTGTTTGAAAAGGAAAACAATTTCATTTTGGTACAGCTCAACTCTAGTTACAGCTTTGACTGTCTAATTTTCAGTGTTACTTCCTTTCAAAAATCCCATTTTAGCATTCACTGTCGTCATAATTTCCTGTTTTCCAAGCACTGAGATGTTGATAGAAATCTGCCTTACAGAAACCTTATCTATTTGTATTGGAATGATACCAGCAATGTAGTAAGGTCTTGTCTTTCTTTTTCTTAGCCATCTGCCTCTTTCATTTGCAGTGGGAGCAAATAGGCAGCAGCAATCGGATTTCCTTTGGGTTTCCTGCATTGACGCTTTTTGACTCAAGTGTTTCAAGTCTGGGCTTTCACCACACCCTTTTTTACGGCAAATTACCGTAGAATCATGGAATCATAGAATGGTTTGGGTTGGAAGGGACCTCAAAGATCACCCAGTTCCAACCCCCCTGCCATGGGCAGGGACACCCTGCACTAGACCGGGTTGCCCAAAGCCCTGTCCAACCTGGCCTTGAACACTTCCAGGGATGGGGCATCCACAACCTCTCTGGGCAACCTGTTCCAGTGCCTCACTGCCCTCATAGTAAAGAATGTTTTCCTAACATCTAATCTAAATCTGCCTTCCTTCAGTTTAAAACCATTGCCCCTTGTCTTATCACTACACCCCAACTCTCTCAGCCTGTCTTCACAGGAGAGGTGTTCCAGCCCTCTGATCATCTTCGTGGCCCTCCTCTGGACTCGCTCCAACAGCTCCATGTCTTTCTGGTACTGGGGACCAGTACAAGAACTTTCATTATTATACTGTACTTTACATTATTATACAGTACTTTCATTATTTATTTGCCTGTCCCCTCTCTCTAATTTAATGTCACTAGGGACAAAAAGAGCAATGGAGCAAGGAGGGATTGGAAGACCTTTCTCTCCCTTGCCATTCTTACTGTGCTCCAGTGTGTTTCTTGCACTGAAAACTTATTTGAATTGCCCTAAGTTCCTCTTCTTCACATTTCTCTCCTGTTTAAGCTCTTCAGTCCTCCCCATTCCAGACATACCTGTTCTATTTCTTAAGATTCGTTGGTCTGCTTCTGCAGCTTTCAGAAGCAGACTTTTACTGAAAAAGAAAATGGTGGCTTTAGCTCCTGTATTTTTTTGTAACGCTCATTTTACTTTAATCACTGGCTTTCTTTTCTGATAGTCATAATACATGGTATGCTTTGATTGTTTTTGTTACAGGTACAATTTAGAAAATTACTATTAATCATTGAGCAATGAGTCAAAATGAAGAATTAATTCAGAATTTCAAATAGCACATCTCTCAAACATATTCTTGTTTCAAAAAACATATTTCTTGGGCATCTTCCCTTAGATGAAAAATTAAGAGCAGGGTCTTCTCTACATTTCTTTAATTCTGATGATCTGCTAGACAGTTATTAGATTTTAGGAAATGTCTGTTTTGCTTTTTTTATGGAAGTAATTTTATTCACAACGTAGAAATGATTCTATTGTTTTTAAGGCACTGCAGTATCTGTAGAGAAAAATATATTAAAAAAAACTTGGGCAAGATGATGTCATTACATAGGAAGGACCAATAGATGCTTAATCTGAAAATATATTCAATTTTTTTTTTAAATTTAGTAAGATTAATGCAATAGCCAATTTATTGATTTCTCTAAATACCACAGGCAAATGCTTGAAATCTCAATATTTGAACTGAGAAACACAGTAACAGAACTGGAAAAAAGACTTAGCAGTGTTGAAGATGAAGGTGAGTGAATTGCAACAGTCTTGCTAATTGATTAGGAAACACAGAAAATTAATTCCTTTGAGTACAGAGATAGAAATTTTTATTTAGAAATTTAAGTTTTCCTTTTTCAAACATGACTATTAGAGGTGTGAAGCTGCAAATGTGAAATTAAGAAATACTACATGCTGCATGTTAGCTTTATTTATTAATGAAACTATGAATAACATGAATTCATAGAGTTGGTTAATATTCTGGCCACAGTAAGCCCAGTGAAAAGTTCCCTTGATTTATATTTTCAAGGTCTTTTGTATGCAAAAATCCTCATTATGTGCATTACTAACTGGAGACTTTCTCAGTCTCCAGAAAAAAAAAAGGAAACGCTTTAAAAAACGCTTTTTCTTGAAATGGCACAAAATAATCTGGGAAACAGAATAACCCTGTATTTATTTTTAAGGTAATGAATGGAAAACCAGATATGAGACGCAAGTAGAATTGAACAAACAGCTGGAAAGGCAAATTAATATTCTTCAAAAGAAAATGGAGATTATTCGTGGCAATCCAGCAGGTAGAAATGGGTATTCATAACTGTTTTCTGATAGAATTAGTGATTACATGTTGAAATTATATCAATGGGTCAAATTTTCTGCTTATTTATAGATAAATTGTCCATTGTTCGCACCTTTGATCAAATGCCTGTGGTGAGTACTATGACATTAAGTTGGTTAACAAAAAATCACAGTGTAATTGAAGAACTTGTATAATCTTTATTTTTTCCTGACAGAAAATATCAGCAGCTTGGTCTAGAAACCAAAATAATCAGTCCTGCTTACTTTTTTTATTGTTTCAGATATGCAGTTGCTTATAAATTTATAAAGTAGAGAATAAAATCATTAAATAGGAGTTACACAAGACCTGAGTGTTGGGAAGAATCATATAGTGAAATTTTTGACTGAGTGAAGGTTGTGTGATTCGACCTGCACTTCCCCCCACCCCTCCCTTCTTCCCAGGCTCAACTTCACTCCCCATTTCTCTCCCTCCTCCCGCTGAGCAGCACAAGGGGATGGGGAATGGGGGTTGTGGTCAGTTCATCACACGTTGTCTCTGCTGCTCCTTCCTCCTCAGGGGGAGAACTCCTCACAATTTGCCCCTGCTCCATCGTGGGGTCCCTCCCACGGGAGACAGTCCTTCACGAACTTCTCCAACGTGAGTCCTTCCCATGGGCTGCAGTTCTCCACCAACTGCTCCAGCGTGGGTCCCTTCCACAGGGTGGAGACCTTCAGGAGCAGACTGCTCCAGCATGGATCTCTTCCACAGGTTCACAAGTCCTGCCAGCAAACCTGCTCCAGCCTGGGCCCCTCTCTCCATGGGTCCACAGGTCCTGCCAGGAGCTTGCTCCAGCATGAGCTTCCCATGGGGTCACAGCCTCCTTCGGGTGCCTCCACCTGCTCTGGCGTGGGGTCCTCCATGGGCTGCAGGTGGATATCTGCTCCACCATCATCCTCCATGGGCTGCAGGGGGACAGCCTGCCTCACCATGGTCTTCTCCATGGGCTGCAGGGGAATCTCTGCTCCGGCACCTGGAGCACTGCCTCCCCCTCTTTCTGCACTGACCTTGGTGTCTGCAGAGCTGTTCTTCTCATGTATTCTCACTCCTCTGTCTGGCTGCAGTTGCTCAGCAGTTTTTTCCCCCCTTCTTAACTACATTATCCCAGAGGCACTATCACCGTTACTGATGGTCTCGGCCTTGGCCAGCAGCGGGTCCATTGGCTGGCATTGGCTCTGTCAGACATGGGGGAAGCTTCTAGCAGCTTCTCACAGAAGCCACCCCTGTAGCACCCTCACAACCAAAACCTTGCCACACAAACCCTATACAATGTGTTTCAGTTTGTGCCCATTGCCTCTCATCCTTTCAGTGGGCACCACTGAGAAGAGCCCAGCCAGTCGGCCCCCAGCATATACTGGTGCTGCAGTTCTTTTTCCCTGGGAACAGGAATTTGCATTTCCCCCTGTTGAACTGAACTTCATGTGATGCCTCTCTGCCTATTTCTTTAGCCTTTTGATGCCCCTCTGAAATGCAGCACAATCCTCTGGTGTATCAGTCACTACTCCCAGTTTTGCATCAACTGTGATAACATAGATGAATAATCGCAGTAACATTTCGCATAATACAGTTACAGGAAAATTCCTCATTGTACAGTAAATACACTATTTTTGCAACATCAAAGGAAGTATCTGTTTTCATTTTCAAATTTTTATTTCTTAATACACTCATATTTCATGACCTATATTTCAACAAAGCATAAAACATTTTTTCTGTGATCTTGGGGAGAAAATGGCAAGAAAAAACCAGCAAATATTTTGGCCATTTAGTCTTCTCAAGTAGTAGATGAAGTGAAAACAATTTTAGATTCAGGAGTGCTTTTTCCTTAGTCTGTCATCTGCTGAAATCTTTTACTTTTGAGACCTCTTCTGCTTCTAACCCTCTTTTAGAAATAAGGAAGGCAGATAAAGATGTAATAATGCCTTGTAACATAAGCAGGAATAACAAACATTATGAGGCAGGGCTCTGATGATTTTTATTCCACTTGCTTATGCTTACAGAAGTGTTTCCATCTTTCTTACTTTTCTGTGCTTCAGATTCTGAAGATTAATGGGAGTTTATTGAGCCTAGAGGAGGCTGCATGCCATATTAGTGGGAATGATTATCTGTTGTGAGCAGGGTGTGAATAATTAACTGGTCTTTCTGATGGGATCCTTGGCTTTCACAAACAGTAAACATTCTTGCCACTTTTAGTACTATCCCAGAGACCATGGTGTTTTCTAGGTTGGCAGGATTTTTTTTTTTAACAGTTAATTAAAAAGAGAACAAAATCTTTCAAATCCCACTTTCCTTTTTCACAGAGTTGATTTGAAAATACGACTGGGATTATATTTGAAGAAGTCTTGAAGACAGAACATTGATCTGGAAAATCTACAGTAGAATCTGCTTCAGACAATGTTATTCCTGTCAGCCTATAAAGCACAAACTGGCATGCATGCTTACAGTATCAGAAGTGTTTATTTCCATCCCATTGCTAGCACTTTCTTAACCAATCCAATTACACCTTGCCAAGCACTCGGAGAGTCATTACTAGTGAGATAATCTTCACCAGCAGCTGTGCTGCACCAATCCAGGACATTTCTAATCCCTACTAAATACTGCCTTGCCTCCTCACCTATGAGCTGTGGTTCTGAGAGGTTTGATTACACAAAGGAAGGAATGACAGCACAACTGAAAGGTTCATACTGCCAGAAGGAGTCTAGAAGACAGTTTGAAGAGTCCTAGACTTACTCATTGACACCTAGGGAAGTCTGGAGCCCATGTGCCATGCCATAGGCTCTTCTTTCTTCTGCAGTTTTAAGTCTTCAGCCTTCTGGCTTAGAGTGAATACATTCTTCTGTTTTCTAGCCAGAGGGGAGAAAAAAGTGCTTAGGGCTGTAGGGGGGATGTTTCATTTTCCCTTGTTTTGATTTTCGGGAGATTGAAAGAAGGAAAAAAAATAAAAGTATTTTGTGGGCTTTGCTGTTGGGTTTTTTTTTCACTGAATGTATGAGAAAAGTCAGTGTATATTTACAGATACTATTGGAGAATGCAGAGCTGCTTTTTTTTCTTTTAAATGTTAGGAGATAAAACACTGGTAAAAAAAATACACAGATCATTTTGTGGTGTTTAAGCATACAGGTTTATCCAAATCCTTTTTATGTTTTTAAGAATTGTTCAGGGGACTAGGGGGGGAATATTTAGCTTCTCTACAGATGAGAATAAAGAGCAGATGTGGTGAGTGGGAGTACAAAACCAAAGAGCTTTGCAGCCAGTCATCAATCTACATTTGCTCGAAGTAAAAATGCTGAGAGCGGGTATATATAAAATCATGTGTGTGTGTGTGTGTTAAATCAAAAGTACACTCTGATATTCAGCTTTCGACTTGCAGTTGCATATGAGGCTCTGTAGAAAGACAGCAAAGTGATTCTTCTGGCAAGATGATACAGATTTCTAGAATATGGCAACAGTAGACAGTAGATTTTGTTTTGAACAACATATTTAGAAAATTAAATAGCATTTGCAAGTCTTTTTAACCTATGTTCCCAAGGAAGTTAGAAGTATGCAGTTAGAATTATTAGAAGGACCTCTAATAATTCTTAACTTCCTAAGCAATTCCAGCTGTATTTAACAGAGGAGATATCTCAAAGATGCTAAAGACATTTATCCCACTCAGCTCGTCCTTTAAGGTCCTACCATAATCAACAGAAGGAGAAAAACATGTCCGTAGAGTAATCCATCCCATTTAGAGATAGGTAGCATAAAATATTTTCTCAATATCAAGCACTACAGGGAAAATAAAAAAAAGGTTAGTCATCAGGGACCCTGGTAGTCAGCAAGCTATAAAAACCTGAATGAAAAGAAGAATACAAATGCAAATTCTGGAATGATGAACAAGGAAGCAGAGAGGATTTTCTGTGTTGATAAACTGCAATAATGGTTGCAGATGGCTTGCACTATTTTTGCTTTAGAATTATAAACGTACTGATGAATGATTCCTTGCTATTAAAATCATCGCTAAACCATTTAAATACACAATTATCATTCTGAAGTCCTTATACTGACTTGAGATAATCCTTTTTTTTGTTTCAAAAGAAATCATGTAGGTGTCACATGACAGTAAATGCAGAACCAATACCTCGAACACACAAATTTTTACAGCCAGGGTTTAGAAAATAATTTTTGTGTACTGAGAGCAGATTAAAAATAACCTAAACAGTGACAAGCATAAGGGAGTTCTAACAGTGAAAACTGTTTAGTCAGTAATTTTCTTTAGGTCCCAATGAATAATACAAATGTCATGCAGTACTTCAGAAATAATTACAGAAGGAATGCCTTCTCTCTAATGTATAACATGATGTGAATTTTACTTGCCTCTCTTAAACATGCTGCATTCATTTGTTAGCATTTTTTCATTAAATGATTTTTGGTGAAATACATGCTCTCTGCTAAACATAATTTCCCATATAAGCAGAAAGAAAATTATTCCTTTCTCTCTCACTATTTCTGCAAGAAAGAATCCCTAGATAGCGGCTTTAGTATGCAAATACTGAAAAGCATACTGCAAAATCAGTTCAGAAGAGCACACTCCTGATAGCATTGCCTTAGCAACGCTCTAGTTAAGATCAGCCAAGGAACCAAGGTTTCTGTGATAAATCACCATTTTCAGGAATGTCCAGCACCATAGCTGACAAAATTCTGACATTAAGGGCCAGATACTTGCTTTGCGAAGCTGCCTTTCTGAGAGCACAGAGACCCCAGAACTGAGACCCCCCACACAACCACTTCAGGGTTTTTGCTGTCAGTTTTAAACTTTAAGCAGAACGTGTGGCAGTGTCACCCAGGAGAAGGTGCTGGCAACATGACAGGAGAGGAATCTTGGGTTTGTGAAAACACGCAACGAAGACTTGGTATTTCAGTAGGTGTTGATAACTGCCTATAGGGAACATCAGCACTTTATAAAGGCATAGGAAATGTTGACAATTCTCCTAGCGAGTCACTGGTCAATGAACCTTGTTGCTCTTATTGGATTAAGTCACCATTAGCTCTATGGGAAGAAGAAATCTGTTATCCTATCTTTTTGTGAAAGTTAGAAGTATTTTGGAGAGAATTCTGTAGT